ATCTACTACTCATTCAATATCACTGCTAGCTTTTACTGCCTCCACTGGAAGGCTATTTCAGGTATCTACTACCCATTCTATATCACTGCTAGCTTTTACTGCCTCCACTGGAAGGCTATTCCACTAATCAACTACCCATTCTATATCACTGCTAGCTTTTACTGCCTCCACTGGAAGGCTATTTCAGGTATCTACTACCCATTCTATATCACTGCTAGCTTTTACTGCCTCCACTGGAAGGCTATTTCAGGTATCTACTACCCATTCTATATCACTGCTAGCTTTTACTGCCTCCACTGAAAGGCTATTTCAGGTATCAACTACCCGTTCTGTAAAACAAATAACTACAAAACTGTACAGACATGGGGGGGCGGAGCCTAACCACGGAGCCGAATGGACGCCATCATCCACGGCTCCCCGGCATTGAGACACAATCTACCACGAATCTCAGGTAGGGGGGGCCATCGACCCGCGGGACCCACAGTCACGATCCCAGGGCTCACAGGGCTACCCACTGATGCCCTTTTTCAGCCCACAAACGGGCAAAAAACGAGTCCGCAAATCCCGGGCCTACCTCACTCTCCCGCCGACATCGCAGCTACCCGCGGGATTCCCCCTGAGCCTGGAGGACTGGTGCGGACAACGGGCAGGCCACTACTCACCCGACAACGATATGGGGAGGCGAACACAGAAGTCACAACAGGCAGCACCCAGGGACTCCCAAGATATTGGGACTCTGCTGCAACGCACAGCAGGCCACAAAATGGCGGCCGAACAAGAACAGGAACCTAGCCCCACACACTCAGCACAGCTGTCCCAGGGAAGCAGCAGTGACATGAGAGTTGAAACTCCCAGCAACCCACAAGCAGAGGGAGATGACTCAGCCCCAGCTACTAAAAGGGACATTAGACTCCTATTACAGGAGATGAAGGGGCTGTTTGACACTGACATAAACTTAATCCGCACAGAAACGCAGGCGGTGACGGCAAGAGTACAGGCCTCTGAAGAAGACATACTAGACCTCCGACAGGAGGTGAAAAGCATGGGGGACGCCCTGAAACATTTACAGACAGCGAACTCAGCGCTCCAAAACACGCTAGACGCCATGGAAGATCGCAACAGGCGCACACATATTAAGATTCGGGGTATTCCTGATACAGTGGGACCATCTGAATTACCACAGTTCCTGAGGAGACTCACGGCCACAATACTGCCACATACACAAGCCAAAAAGCTGGAATTTGACAGCCACTTTCGCATTAACAAAGCAAAAAGGGCACCCACAACGGCCCCAAGGGACGTCATCGTCCGCTGCCATTCCATGACAGACAAACGCCGCATACTAGCAGCAGTAAGAGACAAGACACCCTTGGCCTTCGAAGCCTCACAACTTACCTTCTTCCAAGATATCACGCGGAGCACCCTACTCTGGAGAAAGTCCTTGAGCAACATAACGGAACAACTGCAGAAGAGGAACGTAGAATACAGATGGCTGCTGCCAAGAACTCTGGCGGTATTCAGCGGAGAAGAAGTTCTAAAACTCACCTCACTCTCGGAAGCCCCAGCGCTTCTCCAAAAATTGGGACTAACTCAGAACGCCCCAACACCGGGACCAACACAAGCTACCCACTCCTGGGACCCGGACAGAATAGTACCATATGTCCCTAGGAGCAACAAGAGACCGGAGACGGAGACCTGAACACCTTAATCTGTTTACCTCTTAATTTTATTTCCATGCTCTGATATTCTCTCCTCTTCTATGACTTCACCCTACTGCTTCACGAAAACACGACATCTCACTATTAACTCCCCATACAAAGTCGGAGACGATCTCCCAACCCCCGCGACCCTCTTAGGTTAAGGGCCAACATTACCTACTAACCCAAGCATAGCAAACGCGACACAAAAACCACACTCAGGCACAGACAGACGCACATATACAATTTTTCACCGAGGACGAGCAACAGCACTTTACAATTATCAACACCCCCCCTCAAATAACAGAGAGGAGTGCCACTCAACCACCTAACCACTCACAGGACCCAAGCAACATAGACACAAACATTTACAACCAGTTCACCCTATGGGAACCTACCGCATGGGCACACTCGACACACTAGAAAACCAGAAAAAGTGCAGAAACATGACCACAAGTTCTTCCTGACTACTAGGACGCAAGCTAAATTTCTCAGACCGTAGAACAAAGTGACTCATACTATATACTTGCTGCCAATTCTATGCTCCTGATATGTTATAAGTGTGAAACGTATAGACTGATCTAGACCTTTAGCAAAACAATTATTATTTACTAATCTGCCTATGTTGGAAAGGCAGCTCAAGTATGTTATTCTTTGTTCAATGCACAGAAAATAAAGAATTTAAAAAAAAAAAAACTGTACAGACATGGACCCAATAAATGATCCTGGACAGGCAGAGGGACCATGGTGCATTGTTTGTGCATGCCTTTTCATTCCCTAAGCTTTTGGTTTGCTGACCACCCAATGAATGAGTGTCATGTTAATTCATTAAACTGCATTTTGATATATATATATAAAAAAAAAAAATATTCTATGAAACTCAAAAAAACCCCACAAAACAAATGTTTTTTTTTTCTTCAGGTGTTTAAAGCTGATGGCATGCATGGAGGGGCAATACAATAGATCTGGAAACATTCGTCACTCTTGCACCCCTGGCATGGCAGCCTGGTCCTCTACAAAATCTACCTCCTTTATTTTTTCATTCCTCCCTTTTCCTATTCTCTCTGTTATGTAGACGGTGAATCATCCAATCTCAGGTTGTACATTTCTCCATTTACTGAAAACCAATTGACCTCTTCATTAGAATAAAGAAAAAAAAACACAGAACATTATCTGCATATTATATCCCTGTGTATAAATAATATCTTAGCGACCAAACACGCTCCCAGCCCTGTGTTCTCTACTCACCTCTGACTGTGCCCTGTACAATGTGTGATGATCAGCAATTCAATGTGTGCTGCCTGTGTGTGTAAAGCCTATATAGGCACACACACTGCTACGTCACTGACTACTGCTACTCTGCCCGCATCCTAAGCTTGGCACCGCTGGCTCGGGCTCGGAATGTGCCAGCATGTCTGTTCACATTCTGTTTGTTTATCTTTTGTAATTTCCTCCTCTCTCCTAACCCAGCTATTTACCATCTTGCTGTTACTTTCTAATATCTTCATCCCTCTCGTCCATTAACAAATAGTTTTATTTGGTTTTACACTTTCCCTCGCTTTCCTTTTAACTCTTTAGTAGGCTTTTTTTTTTTATGCTTTACCGGTTATATGATTATTATTGGGATTTATACAACACTGGCTTATCACACACCAAGTAATTGGCAGACAAAATCAATGTTGACATTTACAAGAGGAGAAAAAAAAATTAGAGCTAATGCTAAAAAGCTTTAGATCTCGGAGACTGCCAGACTAGAATGGTTACCTAGCAATCCTAAATCTGCGCAGGGGGCGCTAAGGCAGGTGTCAAATATGCAAACGTGGAAGTTGTTTTGCTGAAATTCTATTGGGTTACTCCAACCACAATGACCACTCTTGCTTTTTTGGGTAGCCATGGTGGTAGAAGTATGTTTGCGCAGTGTTTTGGCTTGAAACAGTGCACATCCAGAGATATTTTTAATTGTGTGCTGGAGCTAGTTCCGGGCTCCTAATGTCAATTCTGTGCATATTTTACATTTGTCGTCACAGCGCACTACACGCTGCTAATAGTAGTAAACAGCTTTTTTTAATCCCTTGTCGTCCTTTCACCCCCCCTCTTTACGCGCTCTGTGCTGGTCAAACCGTCCAATGAAATGTTTCTTCCCATGACTTCAGGTAGGTGCGCACTGAGCAATGCCAGGAGCTATAGCTGGATTAAGGGAAGTAAAATCTCATTTTGCAGGTCTTTTTATTTTTTGGGGGGTGGGGGGAGCTACAGAACGATGGCCAATAGAGCATTATTTCAACAAAGGAAAAATGTTTTTTTAAAAACCCTTTAAGTAGCACTGTAAACATAGATGTTGCCTTGGTTACCAGGCAACCTCACCTCCTAAATATTACACTGGGTCCACCTCATGCAACGATTTGGCAAATACCTCTGGAAAAATGCAGACCCATCCATTGAAGAAGGTGTATTATCTGCTCAATAAATAATATGATTTTACTATGAATTTATTTTATTTGTAATAGATAAACAATACAGATCTCATGTTCGGTTTAGTTTTCTGTTTAGAAATACATTAACAGAAAACAATCACTTCTCTTGAACTTAAACCAATGAACTAAACATTGAAAATTCCATAAAACCTCTCATAACCTTTTTTCAGGTGATGCTGCTTTTTCTTTTAAATCCATATTAAACATTAAGTAAATTACATCACAATCCAGTTAAGTTTTGGCATAGCTGGGGCATTCAATGCAAATGAGGAGAATATTTCCCCTTTGCTGATTGGTTCAAAGGACAGCACCTATAGCAGTGATTGACAGAGAGCTAAGATAGAGACTTCTAATTGCAGGATAAAGAGGTTTCTACATTTCATTTTATTTTTCATACACCGCAAATTCATATTTGTTAAGAGTTTAAAAAAAAAAATAATCATGGAAAGTGACATTTCCCTATTAAAGGGACACTACAGTCACCAAGACCTTTAAACCAGAAACTGCAATGCTTACACCATACTGACAGACACTGGAGGTGACTTGCAGTGTCTTTATATGATGGCTGGGCGGCAGTCTCTTGCTGTGTCTTTATATGATGGCTGGATGGCAGTCTCTTGCTGTCCCTTACAGTGTCTTTATATGATGGCTGGGCTGCACTCTCCTGCTGTCCCTTACAATGTCTTTATATGATGGCTGGGCGGCAGTCTCTTGCAGTGTCTTTATATGATGGCTGGGTGGCAGTCTCTTGCTGTCCCTTACAATGCCTTTGTATGATGGCTGGGTGACGCTCTCTTACTGTCCCTTACAATGTCTTTATATGTTGTCCCTTACAGTGTATTTATATGATGACTGGGAGGCAGTCTCTTGCTGTCCCTTACAGTGTCTTTATATGACGACTGGGTGGCAGTCTCTTGCTGTCCCTTACAGTGTCTTTATAAGATGGCTGGGTGGCAGTCTCTTGTTGTCCCTTACAGTGTATTTATATGATGACTGGGAGGCAGTCTCTTGCTGTCCCTTACAGTGTCTTTATATGACGACTGGGTGGCAGTCTCTTGCTGTCCCTTACAATGTCTTTATATGATGGCTGGGTGGCGGTCTCCTGCTGTCCCTTACAGTGTATTTATATGATGGCTAGGTGTCGGTCTCCTGCTGTCCCTTACAGTGTCTTTATATGATGGCTGGATGGCAGTCTCTTGTTGTCCCTTACAGTGTCTTTATAAGATGGCTGGGTGGCGGTCTCTTGCCATCCCTTGCAGAGTCCAAGAGCTGTCACTCTATCTGATTACACATCATGCTAAGGATAATGAGCTGGGGAAATATTCCTGCTAGTTCTAATAATACTGTGATATGAATAGACCCTGCTTCTCCTCTCGGTCTCTCCTGGTAACGTATAGTCCATTTATTAATGAGGCTCTACTTCAAATGTGATGCTTTCAAAAAGCCCATGATTAATCTGTTTGTAAATTGCAGGGATATCCAGGTGCAAATGTAAAAGGCGCTCACATCTGAAAGCAGACCACACAATGAGCGGATACTCTGTCACACTGTACATTACAGGCCCTTAGTAAAAGGTCTATCATTATTACATCCAACAGCAAGCTAATTGGACAGCATCTCTCTCTCTGCATCTACATTGTATGCTGCTTTATCTCCCTAGATCGTAAGCTCCTTGTTTATAATGACTCCCATTATACCCCATTATTGTAAGTTCCTTCTGACCTCCAGTTTAATGGCGTAAAGGATCCCTTTTCCGAGACGCCATTATTTAGTGCTAAGAGGTTGCGTGGTAAAGGGTCAATTCATTTAGGGAATGGAAGTGTATTCATAACAGATCGAGGGTGCAGTACCCTGTGCAGCCTTTACTTTTCTTGGCATAAACACATGGCTTGTTAGAAGCCATACTGCATCCTGAATCTACCAGTCATACAGCTGTGCAGTTTATTAACAGATTGTCAATAAGATGCACTCTTTAATCCATAGACTCTCCAGTAACATCATTCAATTTTATATACGTGCCAGGGTTATCCAGTAAACCAAGTGTTGTGGAGAAGTAACAAGGGGAGTGCAATATTAATCTGTAAACCGAGGTGAAAAATGTAATTCTCCAACGCGAGTATCTTGGTCTAAAGTTTAACTTTTTCTGTTCTATTTTGTCCACTTGCGTAAATGATCCTCAGTAGATATGAAACTAGATTATTACAGAACAAAGACACTGGGCAATTTCTTTAATATATAGGTATGTAATATGTTCCACAATGTAAAACGTTTAATAATTGTGACATAGCTCTTCAGGGTCTGTAAAAGATCACGTAGACCTTTGTACATCACGTGTAAGCATGTGCTTTTCAAAGGGGGGTTAACCCCTTGTTGACTAGGGAATACGGTTAGATGGCTGCCCATGTCTATGTGCACTCTGGAAGACAATGCTCTGTGCTGGGCTCTATGCAAAACTTGCTCACCACACAGATTGGTTCCTATTTCCTGCTCTGTCTGCTATACAGAACACATTCCTGGGCACGAGGTTGGCACCTGTGACAAGCTGAGAACAAGGAAGGATATACAGGCACGTGTTAACTACTTCACCCTGCAGAGCAATGTGCCAGCTTGTCAGCTCTGGGAAACGAAACGTGCCGCGGTCCGCAATGACCACTGAAAAGAAAGACAGGATGAATGCAAGCTCTTTGAAACAGGTAACAGTCTTATTGTCACACTCTGCATTCATACTGTTCCTCCACAGGACAAATGGACTAATTTTAGGAATAGAGGATTTGAAATCTAACCCATGGCTCCCCACCCTTCACATAGCTTAAATTAACAATAAGGACTTAGTCGTTTGATAAATATATTATTATATATTGCTTGCGTGTGTGTAGAAATACCAAATGGCTACTTAGACCTTGACATTCTCTCAGGATTATTCACTAATCCCAGAAATGCATATTAAAATCTGACATGCAAAATTTATGTAAAAAACGGCTGATTTGGAAAATTGTCACAACTTTGCTATTTTAGCCTCCATTTTGAAGTTCAATTCACTGCAAATTGTGAGTTTAGTGAATAAATGCTTCAATTTAAAAAAAACCCAGAATGTTTCATGTGTATTCCTGAACTCTTCCACTGAATACATTTCTACCAGTCCTGCTCAACAGCTATCCTATGTTTGTACATTCCTTCCGGTAAAAAGGTATTTAGTTTTCTTATCGGTAGATGTTCTTCCTTGTATGAAACTACTCACACCCACTTTTTCTAATGAGTGACAGCTATCTATGACAAACTGTTGAATCTCTGCCATGGTTGAGTGCAGGATTAAGTACATCAGGTATTTGCACAGTACATTCTGATTGAGAATATCCACTTTTCCACCTAACTAAACTTCTGTGTGGGAGGAATTCTGTACAAAGAATGAACATACTCATGTAGGGCAAAAACTTTATTGCTCGGGCTCTAGGGTGAGGCAGTTCCAATGCTCAGGACACTTGGTATTAGAAATACACGTTGAAAGGAGGAAATTAAGATGATCTTCTCATGAAGAAAGCAACACAAGGGGAATTTCTCACTACCAAAATCAACTATTTTCTTCTAAAATCTACATTCATGACTGAGTTAGCAGAATGTTGCTTTGTGCGGCGCTGTTTAGCAGGAGTTTCTCATTTCCATTCCTTATCAGTGGCTACTACGCTCCATAAAACAGCATCGCCTGTGTGAACATGGCTTGCAATAGAATTTGCAAACTAAAAGAAACTCATTGCTTGCATATTTAAAGGGACACTATAGTTACCAGAACAACTACAACTTAATGAGAAAAGGCAGTGTTTACATTGCTGCCTATGAACACCTCTAGAGTCACTAGAGGTGCTTCCTGGGTCAGTGCTGAACACTCCTCTATAAAAGGAGTGTTCAGCACTGAACCCTGAACTTCATGTGCAGCATTGACCCAGGAAGCACCTCTAGTGGCTCTGTGTTGATTCAATGCATCTCTATGAGGGGATGCTGATTGGCACAGTGCAGTGTTTTGATGTGCATGCACAGTAGCCTACGATGCTTTCCTATGGGAAAGTATTGGATTTGCTAAGATCATCAAATTTAAGGAGGCGGAGCTAAGTCGGGCCCAGCGATGAGTAGACCCATGCAGCTCTGGGGAAAAAGGTGAGTAAATCACCTTTTAAACGGGGGTAAGGGGAGGCCAGGGAGCTAAATGGTGCATTTAGACCTATAGATGGCGCTATATAAATAATACAATAATAATAATAGTGTCAGGGCACATTTGTATTCTGGAAACTATAGTATTCCCTTAATGTACCCTGACAAAATAGCGTACTGTGTTAAAGCCAGGAATCTGAACTCTTCTGAAACACCAATCCATGGTGCCAATCCAGCCCCGAGGCTGGCTGGCTAGCTAGTTTGACAAAGACCTCATCTGGTGGTCGAAACGTTTCTGCTGTTTGCTATATGCACTAATCTTCATTAAACCTGCCGTTTAATCGGCCTTAGTTCTGCTATTCTGGATCGATAAAATAGGGCATGTTAACCAAATCAATATTAAAATTTAATTGAGATAAATAATTCAACCCCTACAAAAAAGGGGCAACATCTTACAAAATTTTCTGTCAATATAAATTACTAGGACAGTCTAAGCAGCATAACCACTATATCTTATTGTAGTGATGATGGTGCAATGTGTGTTTGATTATAGGTCCTTGTTTTTGTAGTGTTTGGACATAAAAAGCACCAAATGCTCTGGGCTCTCTGCTGCCGGTAAGATCACTTCTTCGTTATCTGTACATAATTGGACACAATTGATAATTTAAGGATAAACAAAGACCCAGAGACTGCAGCCTGTCATTGCCATATAATTCTGAACAAATACATTATGGTTATCCTATTCTGTTCCCTTAATTGCACTTGTTTGATACTGTGAATAGAGCATGGTTTGTTTGTTTTGTTATTTTCAGGAAACCTTTGACAGCAGTTGAGTGGCCAGGCTTTGGTCGCTGGAAAGTCCTGTTTGTTTTTTTTTTTTTTTTTACAAACTGCTGTAAAACCGTTTGACAAAAATCAGGGACACACGCCAATAATCCTTACATCATAACCAGTGCAATAAACTGAAGTGTTTATGAGGCTTAGAGTGTCCTTTTAAATATAATTACATATATATGAATAAAATTAGAAATATTTTCCTGAGAGGCATTTAACTTGGCCAGATTTGCTCCAACACACACCAGCAAATCTAAAATTATGCAAATTACTAAATCTAGAGCTTTAGCAGGTTAACAATAATCTGCTTAGGTTTTGTTTAAATCCCTTGTCTGGCTACTACAGGGATTGAAGTAATGTCCTGTATGAAAAACAAGGTGTAGCAAGGCTGTGTCTGCTTATGGGAAGATGAACACAGATTTTGGTAGAAATTAAAAAGAGAAAATACAGGATATAAATTAAAAGAAAACACCCCACTAATCCAATATTTAGATACTGCGTCCACACAAGCAAGACATAAATAGTGTAAGAATTATGTTAAATAAATACTGTAGGTGTACGCACATTGTAGACTCAATGTAGAGCAGGATTGCCCAAAAGGTAGATCCCCAGATATTTTAAAACTACAGCTTCAATGATGCTTTGTCATCCTAAAGCATTCAAAAAGCATCATGGGAATCGTAGTTCTACAACATCAGGGAATCTACTGTTTGTTCATCCCTGGTGTAGAGCATTGGGGCGGACTTCCAATTAATGGATTATATATATATATTTTTACAAACAATGCAAGGTGGCTACTACCAGTGAGAGACCCGGCACACACTATATAGACCAACAAGTATCTCCGATTTTTGAGAATAGCTAGACAGATACAGACGTAAAGCTAAGCCAGTTAAGAGCTGGAGGAATAAACCGGCTTCAAGCAATCAATCTCATAATTTGGAAGGAGGTACGGATTGATCAGTAGAATGTTGTTTGAGGTAGTAAATTATAAAATTGTTATTCTAGGGCTCAAGTCAAACGCAGGTATGTGCCATCTGTGAAGAGTGACAATATGTGCAATAGATCTTGCTTTTCAGACATTTCATTGCTATTGAATGTGTTATGAAGAGGGAACCCAGAGCTGCTTAAATTAAGAATGCTGATAATTCCAGGAACCTGCAGTGTGAATAAGCACTGCTATTAACTAATATATCACTATATTGTCCAGCCAATTAAAAT